AGAGAGGGACCCCCGCAGTCTCTTTCCCACAAGTCGCAGAGGGGTCTCCAGTGCAGCAGCACAGCCTGGGTGTTCCTTTGCCTGCAGGTGGGCATTTCATGCTGTCGCCCTGGTTTTGAGGAGGAGGGAAAGGGCCGCTGTGCTCCTTGGTGTGCAAAGCAAAGAGCAAGTGTGTCGGGCACCTCCCCCTCCCCCCCATTGCCGAGGGGTCGATGCACAACAGGAAAGGGCTTCTGCGGTCGGGCCACGCAGTTTGAGCGCTGAGTGGGCCTCGGGTGCGCAGGAAGCCCTGCCATTTCGCATTCCTGGCTAGACGTGCTGCATTAGGTGGATTTTGCAGAGGAGTCCACAAAAAACACCTGCCAGCAGGTACCTGGGCTGCTAGAAACCGGCTTTTCTCAAACTCTTGGGCCGTTTTCCTTAGATACAAATCTAGTTTTCCAGAGGCTACGTGATTAACGGTTCAAAATTGCGTGTGGTGGGGAGAAGGGGAAGTGCGGAGAAGGGAAGGGACGGATTGGTTGACTCACTGTGTCGGTTCCACATGTACCTGAACACCCAACCGCCCTGTTTCTGAATACATCTCTGATTCGGTTAAGGTCCGCATAAGCACCTGCATTTAAATCAGTAGTTCAAAGTGTCCATTCTTTGCAAATGCACTTAAAACCCACTTTAGTGGGGTTGTCATTTCACAGGTGGGGGGTCACCATGCTGCTCCCCATCCCTTGCCAGTGGCCCCGGGAGGAAGGCCCTGGGCGTTGAAGTGGCGTTCCGGTGGATCACAGCTGAAAATGTTAATAGTAGAACAGAGCCTTTCAGAGTGGCAGTTCAGCTGGGAAAGTTTTGATTGAAAGAGAAACTGTTGATTTGTATATGTGGGGTGGGGGATGTAAGCCCACAGGCCTTATAGACCTCCTGGGGTCCCAGCTCCCAGGGCTTGTCCAGATGCCATGCCCCCTTCCGCTGCCACAGTGCCCCAGCCCTCACCGCCACAGGTTGGCAGTTCCCGGCCCCTCACCCTTGTTCTGACAGGCTGGAATGCTTGGTTCCAGCAAGCAAGCGCCTTAAGCTAAAGCCGGCCGGGAAGCCCTGCTCCGCTTGGCCCTTTCCCCCACCGGAAGGGATTCCAGGGGCTGCGGTGAAGCTGTGTTTGGCTCTCAGGGTGGAAGAGGGTCCCCGCCCCATTGCAGCTCTTGCGGCGCCGAATCTGCGGTGGATCCCCACCACGCCAGCTCTTCCTCGGCACCAGCATCGAGTCGCGTTAATAATGAATGCCGCCGTTAGCATCTGTGCTGGCAAGCAGCTCTCCGCTTGCGTGGCGCTGGGGCTGCATCCAGCGCGAACAGGCCAGGCTCGTGGCCCGATGCTGGACCGCCCGCAGGCCCGGAGCTCTGCGGCCCTCTGGTGCCCCCGCTGAACAGCCGCGGGCTGCAGAAGCGCTGCCTGAGCCTCGTACGTGAGATGCGCCAGGTGTGCGTGATGGTGGCATTTTTCAGCCAAGGAGCCTTTGGGGCCCGGAGATTGCAGCGGAGCGCCGCAGTTAGCGTCATTACACATTCATAAAAGCACGCAGGCAGTCAGACTCTCTGGGAGGCACAGAGTGCCTGGAGGGGGGGCATTAACTCGCTCTCCTCCTCTTGCAAGGAGCCCCTGAGCTGATGCATCAAACGGGTTCGGCCTACCTGTACAGGAAAGGGCAAGCCGAATGACGCACGAGGCCGCGCAGCTCCCCTTTGAGCAAAGGCTGCCACCTCTGCGCTTGGCTGGCCGAGAAAAGGGGTGAGGGAGGGAGGGACTGTCGAGTTTTACGCATGGTGTGGGGAGGTGGACATTTTCCGTGGCACCAAGAGCCCAAAGGGGAGTCCCATGGAAGTGACTGCCGGGAGATTCGGGACAGATAAAAGGAAGGACGTGTGTGCGGAGGTGAGCCGTCGCGTGTGCTGCTCTGGGATCGAGTGCCGGCTGGTAATTTGGGTGGCTCTGGAGGAGGAGTGTGCAGATCCGTGGGTGGGGAAGCCCTCTCTGGCTTAGTCATGCTGGCTAAGGACCGCATCCAAACAGAGAGGCCGCCGGCTTGTTGCCGAGGGGCTGAAGCAGCAGGGGGCCTGCACACGCCCCCAACGCAGGACAGAATGCGGGGCTCAGTGGCTTAATCCAAGGCTCGGCCTCCCTGCCTCGGCGTCCCTTCCGGCGTGCGAGGCGGCCTTTCTGTAAGGCTCTGGCACTTGATTCTCCCCAGAAAAGCAGCAGATTCGTTGCCCAGACAGTTTCTCTCGAGGCCTTTGCTTTGCGTCCTGCAGTCGGGGCTCTCTGTGGCTTTCCCGCACTGCTGGACCGCACGCAGAGCAGAGGAGACCTGGGCAGAGCGTTCCGCTTCCTCGTAATCTTGGCTTGTTTTCAGAAAGCCCGGTCTTTAGGCCTTGCAGTTGCAAAGCTCTGCTTGAAAACTCTGCGGAAATACTCGCTGGGACCTCCGGAGCAGGGAGAAGGAGTGGGAGGCATGCCTTCCGCCCCAAGACGAGCAAAACTGAGGGCAGGGACACAAAATAACACCCAAAGCCTGAAGGATCGATTTGGTCCAGAACACACGAGCATGCACAATTCCCAATTTGCATAATACACCCTTTGTGCAAAAATCTGATTTTAGTGGGCAAAGGACATGGGCTAGTGCTGGTTGCTGCTCAAACCTTAAATGATTTGAACAGAGGGGCTCTTTGCCTGCACCAGAGACCCACTGCTGTCTTACCAGAGCTCCGGCTTGTTTTTGGGCGCTTCTTGCCTTGAATGTAAGATGCTGGCTTTGAACAGGATCCTCGCCACTGCCACCAGTTAGGGGCAGGCCTGCCAATACAGCTGTGTGTATCCCTATGCAGCTGTTCAAACAATGCTGAAGGATGGAAGTAATTAGGAATATTTGTAACATCAAGAAAGCAGTATGGCTAATGATCTGTTTTGGATTCCCTTTCGTTTCACTGCAATGTAACAGTGCTTGTGTTAAGCAGCTTTTATCGCGGCCTTTTCGATAGGTCGCTCTGCTGTCATATTTGGCTGACAGAGTGACATTTAAATGACTTTTCATAATTAGTATTTAAAAGAAACCAACTGCTGCTCCCCAGCTTTTCCATACATGGCCTTTAAAATCTAGCTCGTAAATGTCAGAAATGAAATTTGAGAATTTCATTAAAATTGGACTGTGTGTTTAGAACGAAGGCATTGGAAACAGCGTTTCCTGCACAATTTCTCAGGTTTTGCTGGTTCGGCCTTTCCAAATGCCTTTCCAATTGAAGCAGGGCTCCCTCACAGGTGCTGAATACCAGGGCACGGGGGCCAAATCTGGCTGGGTCCAGGCGCCAAACTCCCCTTCCAGAAGGGGTTTGGGGGCCGTGTTCCAGCGGAGTTCCAATGACAGACATTTGGCCAGTTAGTTTCCGTCTAGTATACAAAGCACAGCTCAGTTCTGATCAAACCGCCGCGGGGTGAATTATCCCCACATCATCAGTTCAGAAAGAAAACCCCGCCTTGGCTATCAGAAATTTGGGAAATGCTTTCATCGCAGTGTATAGGAGGTCGTGTGAGTAAAATTGTGGGCTTCTTCGACTGCTGAGTTTTGACTTTTTGGAGGAAGATGTAAATGGTGATTTCGGGATGATTTACAGTGCCGCAGAGCGTGGAAGCAACAGCCATAAGCGTGCTTTTACCACTTTGCAATTATTTACAGTCCGCAAAGCTTACCTTTTATTTTTTAGCTGCTTTTATAGCTGAGGCACTCGATAAGCGGAATCCTTAATGAAGTGTGTTGGCGCACTGAATGCACAAATGCGAGGCTCATGTTAGGGGCTCTTGCGCGTGGGGCTGTTACCTGCCCCGAAGAGGAACCATTGCGGTTGCATCCTATGCCGGGATGGGCCTGCTGAAGGCTAGGAGAGGGGCTTTCGGGGACTGGAATCTGCCTCATGAGTGGGGGGAACTGACATTCTGACCCAAAGATGTCGGGAGAGCAGTGGAATAAGCGTCATGCTGTTGAAGGGAGGTGAGCTGCAGCTTAGCCGTGGTATAATCAGTTACTTTTAGCATGAGCTTGCTTATTTGTAGATGAAGGGTGCAGAACCTCAGGGCTGGGGGCCGCGTCTCCCCTTTGGGAACGTCTGCACCCCTTCCAGCCCCTTTGCCCCGGCCACGCACCGTTGCTTAGTTTGCTGTCCTTTGCACACCCTTCCTGAAAGGTTGAAATGCCTTCCTAAGGCTTAAACATTGGCAGCAGGAGCTTTCAGGTGAAATGCTTGCTGATTTGAGGTGTACTCCTCGTGTCTTGGCCCCTCATGGCACCGGCATGCGGCCCCCAAAATAGAATTTGGGCCACCTCCCCAACCGAGACCATTCAGTAGTGGTATTACTGACAAGGGACGTGTTGTTTGCCATTTCCAGGAAATCTGGCTTTCTGTTGCCTGCCTGCCTGTGTGTGTGTGTGTGTCTGTTGGTCCCTCTGTTTGTCTACCTGCCTGCCCGTGTTACCTGCCTGCACTGTAGGTAAATGCAGGGGGCTGAGGACCCCCCTGAAGTGAGAGCCTTGAAAAGCAGAGTTCCTCTCAAGGTGTAATGCTAAACTATCCTTTGTGGATGTTCCCAAAGGAAACAAGATCGCAAGGCAGAAAATTCTAAAAATGGCTAGAGCTAAAAGGTAGCCCGATGCATTTCTCACATAGGAATGCTCCATGAATAACTGCCCCGCCATTACAAACGGCCCCCGGCCCCCTTTTCCTAAGTGGTGTCTTAAAAAGAGGCTAATACTGCTGTCGTTGACTGGGCAAAATGCGGAGTCCTGCACCCTAAACTTGGCGGCTTGTGGGTTTGTCCGAGTCATGTCAGCAGCCGCCCTTTCTCCTCTTTCCTTGGGCCTGCCCCTTGCACAAAGAGGGGTGGCAGAACAGTGTGGAAATACGAATAAGACACGGAGTGCTCTGCTGCCTTCCAAAGTAACCCTGTGCCTTTTCTTCCCAAAGGATTCACCCCCCTGAACACTTCAAGCAGAAGTACGCTGTCCACGAAGTCCGTTTCACGGATGAGGTGAGTGTTGCGCTGTTACCAGGATCCTGCCCAAAAAACCAAGCAGAGCAGAACATTTGGGGCTAGGCACTTTCCAGGGAGGTGGTGTTTCCTCTCCAGCTAGAGGAGGAGAAGTTGGAAAGTTGCTTCTTTGTGGCTGTTCGCCTTGTCCCTACCATGGGGATCACCACTGGCGACAACAGCCAAGCTGCAGATGGGTGTCTCTCCTTGGAAAGCATTTCATGACCGGGTAAAACTGGTGCAATGGCTTCAAGGGAGAAAGCGAGAGGAAACGTGGCCGAGTCCTCGTTGCTGCGTCTTTGGCTGCGACCCAGTGAGATACGTCAGGCTTGCCTGGTGGAATTTCTTTGGCTCGCTTCCCTTTCAGTCCACAAACCTCCTCGACTGTATCACAGTTTGCTTTTGAAAGTTGTCTCCATCGCAATCCACGTTTGCCTTGTGCCAAGGGAAACGGCTGTTTGAGGAAGCAGGAACCGAAAACTGTCTTGGCACATGGAACGGTGCAGTTACTCCTGAACAATTTATTTCCATTTTAAAGCATTCTTTACTCACTGCTCCAACTGAATAGGTGTTTCCTTGCAGTCCGTAGAAGGCAAGACAGCCCCTGTCCCCTGGCTAAGTGTTGTGACACTGAAGAAAAAACAGATGAGGAGGGGAGAGGAAGAAACAAGCCAGCTTGGGTACCATTTCTTCAGATAGTAGAGGACTTCGGATGTTGGGCAGAGTAAAGATACAATGGTCTTATAATGACTAGGTGGGTGGAAAGAATTTAGGAAGAGGAAAACCACTTGACTCTCAGCAAACTGAACGGAGAGACCTTGGATTCTCTCCCTCCTCCTCCTGCAGCCTGAACGGACAGAGCCAACTCTGCTTTCCTGGCTGCTGCGTGAGTTTCTCCCCTCTGCAAACGCACGTGTTTTTCCGTGTACTTTTATCTGAGCAGAGGGTCCTGATTCTCATGGGCTGGGCATGTATGATGAGGGCTACCTTTCCTGTCCTTTGTTGGCTGTTCAGTGCCTTATCTAAACGAATTCACACATTTGCTTTTGGCATGTGCCCACGCTGTGGGATTTCTCTTTGTAGGTGATAGTGCGGAGCTTGAAGTTTGCACTGGAAGAGTTCCAGCGCAACTGGCCGTCCCTGGTTGAAACGCTGGCTTTGTCACAGACTAATTTTGCGGTGTGATGACCGGGCACCAAACCTCTTTTTGCCCAAGGGCTAATTCGGCTTTGGAGAAGCTTTTGCATTCATGGTGACCTGGGCAGACTCAGAAGGTGTGGGGCCCCAGGCAGCACAGGGAAGGCCAGAACAATAAAAATGCCACAAGTGTCAGCCTATTTTAGCTTCCCAGCAGTCACTGAGCCTTAGGAAATGCTTTTCCATTTCTTTAGAATGGAGAAAAAACTGCAGCCTCTGGAATCTACCAAATGATTGGTGGCTGGAGGGGGAAGGAATGGGGGGCAGAGGAAGGGGCATGGCCTGCGCCCCCATGTGGCCTGGATGTGGCCTGGATGTCAGCATCCGTCCCTTAAGACAAGCGCATCTCCCTCGGGACCCCACAAAATGCGAGGCTGGGTTTGTAAGGAAATGCGCAGGTGTGGGAATGCTTTGAACACCCACGGCTAAGGTGTCGTAGGAGCCGCCTTGATGTGCCGTGCGTGCACTTGCATGTGTAGCCAAGTAACAACGGTGCTCGGCTCCTGTGCGTCGTTTGCATTCGTCACCGAGGCCCCGGCACCGATTCCAGCAGCCACGGCAGCCAGCTGGGTGGTGTGGGAGACGGCCCTGCCGTGTCGCAGCCCCCTGGCGGCAGGACTCTCTCCCAGTTGGGTGCCATTCGCGCATTCCCCATCTCCCTGCAGACGGCCCGGGTGAATGCCGCCCGCGGATCACAGTGGCGCACGGGGGTCTGTCTTTTTGAAAGATGGCCATTCCAGGCTCCGGTGTATTTTCCTCTTTTACATCAGCTGTTTTCGATTTGTATATTAACTCAGGTGTGAATTGACCAGAAAACCAATGCAAAAAGGTGGCAAACAAATGAAATGTTCCAGATCCCCTCTTCCAGCTTTATCTCTGATAATTAAGTTTATTTATGTCCTGCACTTTTCCTGGCAAGGAATACAAGCCAACTTACGCAACCTTCTTCCTCCTTTTCACTTTGTGCTCACAACATCCCTGTAAGGTAGGCTAGGCTGAGAGAGGGGAACTGGCCCAGTCACTCTGCGCGCTTCATGGCTGCAGGGGGACTAGAACCCAGGTCACCTGGGTCCCCTGTGCAACACCCAAGCTGCGATGCTGTGCCGATGCACAGTGAGCTGCAGTGCAAAAATTAAGATGATCAAACAAACCCTCGTGATTTTCCCCCTTCGGGACCCTGAAATTCTGAGGGCCTGTTTCAGAAAACTCCCCGTTGGGCTGACATTTTGAAGCAGTTGGATTGCGAAGACGAGTCTGTGAGCGGACGTCGTATCATGATAGTGCAGGCATTTCCCTCCACCGCAGCTGCCCGAGATATCTGGGCAGCAGTCGTGGTGTCTTGTTATCTGGCTCTGTGTGCCGAATACCGAAGTGCTGCTTAAGGCCTTCTTAACTCCAGGAGTGGATGACAAGTGATTCCTGGCCAGAAATCCAATTCCTCGGTGCTTCATATCACATATATTGGCACACTGTCAAGTGTCTCATCCATCAGCAGAGGGACACGCGCTGGTCTCTGTGCTTAAATCGTTCTGTGGGGCGAGACCGGAGGAGGAGGAGGACACAGGGATTTCGCTTTCCGCTGGGGCGGGGACAGAGGCCCGGGGCGGGCACGTGGGGTGCCCCAGCCAGTTTGGCAGGGTCCGCTCCCTCCACCTGCCACACTGCCTCCAAACTTTCCCAGCGTGGTGCGCAATGGGGCGTTGGAAACAGGCACTGAACATCTGCGTTGTCCCGACAGTGAAGCCAGGGCAGATTCTAAGCAAAGCCGCTCCTTCGCCCAGCTGCCACGCTGCTGAATTCTGCCCCCAACCCATTTGTGGCTCCCCGCAGCGTCAGCAGTGTGGTGGCAAGGACAGGGAGACGCTCTGCTTTCGAGGGGAGAACCCTCAGAGGGTTGGCCCCTTCTTTCCGCTGCACCACCCGGTTTTGGGGATGGGGCGGTAGCCTGGGTGTGGGTCCTGGCAGAGCAGAAGGCAGCCCCAGACCCCTCCTGGGTGCACACTCGCGTGGTTTGAGAGTGTCACGAAAGGCAGGGCACCACGTTGCCAGGAGGCCCGGTCCTCTCCTCGGCTGGAGTCCCGCAGGGCCCCGAGGCGGGGTGGCCGAAGCGGAGGCGCCGCACTCTGATGCTCCCCCCTCTTCCGAAGAGAAGGGCCCTCCCAACCGGGATGGGCACCTTGGAAACCCTCTGCTGAAGCAGCCCAAAACGAACCCAGAAACAGGGCCGAAAGATGAAATCCCAGGCGGAAGGCGACTCGGGGAGCGGGCAAAGGGCGTGCGCTGCCACTGCGCTTGGGGTGGGCTTGAGGTGGCAAGTGGGGGCAGCATGTAACTGGGATCTCCTCCTTATTTTGCCAGATTTCCCAAGTCCTTGCTTCCAAGAACCCTTCGGTTCTTCTGACTCTGGTAAGTGGCTTCAGATAATGCAGCGTTTGATCAGTGGACCAGTTTATCCTGAGTATGTTACTGGGTGGCACAGCTGAGCTTCCGTAGCATCGGAGGAGAGCCTCTGCCCAGGCAAAGGACGGTGCTGGCATCTGTTTATTTCTGGGCTTAGGGGCGAAACATTTCCAGAGTGGTTTATGGAAATTAAAAAACGAGGCAGACCTGATTCAGGCCCACCCCCCAAGGGGCATCCCATCAGGAAAATCAGGGCAGGCAGGTGGGACACCCCTGCCCCTGCCTCTCAGACCCCTCCCTGGAGAGCCTTCTGGGGCTCGGGCCGCAGGCAAGAGGCCTGTCTCCGTGCTGCGAGCGGGTGATCCGCAGAAAGCCCCTGGCTTCGGTTCAGCGCATGCAAGGGGAGCACTTTCCTGGGGACCAGCCTTGAGCTGCTCGGAGAAGCCGGCGAGGCGGGCCCCTGCAGCCTTGCTCCTCCCTCGGCAGCCGCCGAGCGGGGCAGCTGGTAGCCGCGCTCGGTGTTAGCCAGCCCGTGACATGGCTGCATGGCAGGCTCTTCCCCTGGGCCGCCGGGAGGCCGCTGGGACACCCTGCTCGGCCCAGCGCTCTTGCTGGAGGCAGCATGGAATCGAGGTCTGTGCCGCATTCTGCAGGCAGGAAGGCAGCCCGAGGCGGCCGGAGAGGTGAGGTGGGGTTTCCTCGGTTGCCGGGGCCTTCCTGCACCGTGCCCTCACTCCACAGGGTCTGCGGGAGGTGTCAGTGGATGTGGGGTGGGGAGAAGACCCCCTTTCTCTGCTGTAATAAAGGAAATAAAATGTGCTTGCACCCCCCCCCAACTCCCAGAGTTCTCCACCATGTGCGCTCAGGCTGGCCTGGCGCGGCAGCAGGGTGAGCTTCACCAGGCTGGGTTCCTCCCCTTGGGCTCCTCACTCAGGCATGAGGGATCCCTCGTCCACGGCCTTACCTGGCCAGAGTCGCTTTGGCATCCAGCCCACGGAGCCTCCTGGGGGTCTTCTAGGAGGTGAAGGGTCCAGGTGTTTTGCAGGGGTCACCTCTGGAGAAATAGCCTGCTGCAGAAGAGAGCAGAGGCAGCCTAACAAATTCCCCTGCCCAACGCTACAGAGTTTGATTAATTCCTCAGTACTCCTCACGAGTCAGGAGTCCTTTGTCCAGTGCTGGACCCCAAGAGTAAAGAAAGAGGCAGGTAAACTGGAAAGGGTCCAGAGGAGGGCAACAAAAATGACCCAGGGCTTGGAAATGCTGCCCTGTGAGGAGAGGCTGAGGGAACTGGTCATGTTCAGCCTTGAGAAGAGAAGGCTGAGGGGGGACATGAGATCCCTCTATAAGTCCCCCAAAGGCTGCCACAAAGAGGAAGGTCAAGATCTCATCTCGCTGATGCCAGAGTTCAGGGCACGGAAGAATCAAGTCAAGTTGCGGCAACCCAAAGCCAGGCTGGACATCAGGAAAAGCTTCCTCACAGTCGGAGAAATACGGCAGTGGGACCGGCTGCCTGGAGAGGCGGGGGGCTCTCCCACCCTGGAGACTTTCAGAAAGGAACTGGGCAGCCCTCTGAGTGGGAGGGTGTGGCTTGGTGTCCTGCAGCAGCAGGGGGTGGACCCGATGGCCTTCCTGGGTCTTCCAGCTCTACTCTTCCATGATTCTCCACAGGCAAAGCCTGCCGCCTGTGAGAGGCCTCGTTCGTCCTGTGAGGTGGGGGGATGCCCCCAGAGGGGCAGGGGCACGGTCTGGAGAGCACCAGGGTGCCCCAGGAGAGGGCTTTTCCTCACTCAGGGCTGCTGCAGCCCCTCCATCACCCAGAGTCTCGCTTATTCTGCCTTCCTTTTCCAGCGAGGAGTTAATACGGACAGCGGCAGCGTGACCCGGGAGGCGTCGTTTGACGGGATCAGCCAGTAAGTTGCCTTCTGGGTTTGTGAGTTGAAAGCAGTTGTAAGTCAACTCATTCTTTAAAATACACGGTGAATGTGAATGTGGAAGGGCAGATGTTGGCTTAGTGATGAACTCGGCTGGGCTCTGGTTTGGCCGGGGTGGTTGATACGAGCCTTGCTACGAGGCGGGTGAGTGGCATTTGCACAACGTGTGAGGCCAGAGTGTGCTTGGAACATTATTAGCAGAGGAGCTTTGCTGCAGCCTTGGAAGCCACCTTAGTCTTCCCTGGCACGAGCGGCAACTCACCAAGCGATGCCACAGACGTGTAGCGTCGCCCAAATGCTGGGGCTGGGTGGCTGGCCTGGCTTGGAAAACCTTCCCAGTATTTGCAACTTTAAGCACTCTGCTGCGTTGTTTGGCTGTTGCCGCCATTTCTTTTCAGGAACTGTGAGGGTTTTCTCTGCCCCGCCCCGAGGAACTGTTCCGTTGGGTTGATCCGGATCCATGGCCGCTTGGCAAGCACCTTCCCGTTCTTCCACCGGCTTTCTTTCCGTGTGCCTGCAGATGTTCTTTAGCACTCAGGGCAGCGAGTGATTTCCCCTCTGCCTTTTGACAGTTGTGTATCATTTGTGCGATACACAACTGTCAGCAAAAGAGCACCCACAGATGTGGCAGCGAGCAGTTTTCTGTCATTGCGTGTCAGAATTAACATCTTCTGTCTCTGGTTAGAAAGCTGCTTCTCCCACAGCTCCGGCTTCTTGGGCATCGCCTGCTCCCAAAGCTGCCGCTTCTCTGATTCTTTAACCAAGCCGAACGGAGCTGATGCCGAATACTTGCAGCTAATTAAGCTGTGGGAGAAATGGCGTAATGTCTGCTCTTGGTTTCTACAGCTCTGGTTGCTTTGTCAACCATGCAAAATTGATCTGTGCCTTAAAAAAAATGGAAATAGATTCATTGAGAGGGACGTGCATCTTTTTTCTCCAAGCGAGTGTTGCATTTTCTCTCTTTTAGCCATCTTTTATATAAGAGACTTCCTGGGGATTTGGTGGAATGTCAAGAACAACGTAACTTCCACCCTATTTGCTGTGAGCAGCTCAAGAATATCAATTGATGTATTCCTGCCTTATTAGGAAGAAGCAGAATAAGGTCGCTTCACATTCTGCTGCTGCTGCTAAATTCATCGCCTTGTCAAAGACACCCTTGGGTTACTTCCTCTTAAGCTTTCCTGGCAACTCACCTGCTTGAATAAGATTCCTCTTCCCACCCAGAGCGACACTGCATCCAGCCCAGGAACAGGCTGTTCTAGGTCCTTTATCAAGCCCCTCCTGCAGGTTCCTCGGCTTTCGGCAGTCCGGTTTTTGGAGGCAATCTCTGGGAAGCCTTTTCTGGGCAGATCAGGCTGAAGGGGAGGGTGTCTCCCTGCCCTGGCCAGTTCCCAGGCCTCGCGTGGGGCAGGGGAGGGTCACCGTCCCTCCCGGTCGCGTGTCGTCTCAGGAGGGGTTTTCCAGCGCTCGCCTCGCCCCATTGTGCACTTCGGGGCTTGCCTCCCTCCAGCCACGAGCTGGACTTGGTGCTCTGCTTCTCCAGGGTGCCGTGCTCTCTCCCGCTTTGAAATCTGCCCCCGTTGTGCTAATGCGGGTGGCACTTCCCCCCCTTGGTGAGCCGGCCGAATCCCTCCTGGGTCACTCGTCCTGGCAGATGTGTTCTGGTCACAATATAGCTCTGTGACAAAGTCGAGATCCGTCCCTTGGGGGGTGGGGGGTGCATGCGTGGGCACTTCACTTATTTACTTCGTTTTTATGCCGCCCAATAGTCGCAGCTCTCTGGGCGGTTGGCAGAAGCCCACAACAGCAAAAACCAGGAAGATGTAAACAAAGAGGACTGCCGCAGTTGCAACGGAATCCGCACGGATGTATAAGAAATGGTGTGGGATAAAATGCAATATGGAAAACTAAAGTGAAGAAGTTAACTGTCAGAATGCTGGGCAACTGGGAAGCTTCCCCCTGGCGCTGAAAAGAGCGGCGAGCAGGCCCTGCGCAGCCCAAGCGGCTCCTGCCCAGGCACCACTCTTCTCCCGTGCGTTTTGCGTCTCTCAGGCATGGCGGGGGGAGGGAGAGTGAAGAGATCCTTTTCACCAGCATTAACGTGGAGGAAAAGGAGAGGGGCCAGGCTGAAGCTGCTTCCTGCAAGCGGGTCGGGGTGGGCAGCCTCTCCTCCTTTCCGTTGGTGACGGCAGTGAAGAGCTTCCGGAGGGCCCTGCTCGACGAGGGGCAGCGTCAGTCCACAAAGCAGCCACCCACCTGGCTGCGAGGAAAGCACAAGAAGGGCTTCGGGACTGGAGCGCCTGCCTGGCCCCGTCCTCAGCTGCCGGCCCGCCCAGGCCCACTGCCTTGGATGCCGGGGTCGCTGAGCCATCAGGGCGAGGGGCCGCGAAGCTCCCTGAGCCAGCCTTCCAGCAGCGGCTCTTCTGGGGCACGCGTGCCGTCCCCGCCCCTTTTGCTACCTGCGCTACCTTAATCCGGCTTCTTGCGTCATTCCCGGAAGTTGCAAGGCATCCTCGTTTACCTTTTTCGTGACGCACCTTTTGCACATTGTGGGATTGTGGCTGATGCCCTGCTCGATGGCTGGATCTGTTTGATGTATTATATTTGTACCCCTTCTTTCTTCCATTGTGGAACTTGAGGTCGCTATGCGCCATTCCCCTCCAGGATCGGCCCGGCCCGGCCCTGCCCTGCCCAGCTGGCCGTACTCCTGATCAGCTCTTTCCTACGTGCCCCAGGGCTGAAGCGGCATTGAGCTGGTCCATTCAGCAGGCCGCTGGGGCCCCGTCGCCGTGGGGGGCTGTCATGGCTTGCATGTGCCACAGGCGTCCCGCTTGCCTGAACTTGCCCTCCCTTGTCCTGTCAGGTGAACCGGCGTGGCTTGAGGGTTAGGCAGCCGCAGCCTCCGGCTTGTGCTCGGATCACCTGATGGTTGCCTAGCCCTCAAACAACCTGTGTCGTCCTGGCTCACGCAGCGGGATGACCCATGCGTGGCTTCGTCGCAGCTTCCCTTTCATCGCAGCGCCGCCCCGTGGCTTGTGCCCTCTGACTGCCCTGGGGTAACTTAGCCCATGCTGGAACACTGGTTCACACAACACATGGTTTCCACATGCAGTTCAGCAGCCAGATAAATGAAGCCATGTGGTGGTGCATGGCAGGTTTACAGTTCCTGTCCCAAGAGAGGCCTGGTGCCAAAAAAGGTGTGGAAGGAAGCATTTTCCTCTGGCTTGTGGAAAAGAAGCTTTGAGCTGCTTTGCGGAAGCCTGTGTTCAGAACCACGATCGAGGAACCAGAGAGGCGTATTTTCTCTGTGTCGTGAGCATTTTTCTCCCACTTGTGCTGCCATCCGAACACCGCTCAGCTGAACAAAGAGCTGCTGGTTGCAGAGCCGTGGCTGTTTTCACTCGTCCTGGACCCCAGTCGGGTTGCTCTCTTGTTGAACGTTCGATTCCCGGTATTGATCTCGATTCCAGAATGACATCCCGCTTTTCTGTGCTCAGCATCCTTCCCTCCTTTCATCGCTCGTTAAGATCATGGTGGGACTCTCTGAGCTGAAAGGGAGTCTGTCCTTTTGTTCGCAGAATTTCATAGACTAAATGTACCATTTTGCTCATCAGTGGGTGTTGTCGTGCGTTGCTTTTATGCTTACCTAGCTTTTGCAACCGTTTCTGCTTTTGTGCTCACGCGTACCCTTTCTCTCCGAGATTGAACGCTCTCAAAATCTCCCAATTGGAAAAGGGTTCAATTTATGTTCAAAGCAGGCAAATCTCATTAGCCGTGCTCCCTTTTCCACGGTGACAGCCCAAGTTCCACAGAAGGGCCTAAAATCGTGCGGCTGGCTTCACTGTGAGGCGCAGGCATGAACACCTGACAGTGCAGGTGTCGAGAGCAGGGGCTCAGAGGAAAAGCTGAGCTCGCCCGCAGAGATCGGAGGCGGTAGTGAAGAGATTGAATCCTGCCTTGGGCCTTGGGCAGGGCTGAGTCTGGGGGATGCGGTGCGGTTCTCCTGCCCTCGCTTGTGGCTGCAGCTCTGGTGTTCAGAGCAGTGCCGACCTGCTGCTTCTCACTCTCGGGACCTGCGGCAACACAGTCTCCTGGTCCCTGGCGAGGCGGATCTGCGTCTGGCTTTTGCCCGTGCGTCTTGCTGCGTGTAAGGATGCCCAGTCCTTTCGACTGAGGGAGAAGCCTCCCGTGAGTCCCCATCTGCTCTCGGTCTGACTTCCTTTCCCGGGGCATCCATCGCGCGGCTTCACCCGGCAGCGGGCGAGTGCAGAAGGTACGCGTGAAGCCTCTGTGGCGCGGCACTGGCCCGGCTTCCTTCCCACCTCGCAGGCCACTTCCGCCCTGCCCTTTGTAAGCGCCAGCCGCTGGCGTGGACTCGCCCCTGCACCAGCCTGGGGTTTCCTTCACTGGGGTTCGAAGTAGCCACACAAGCCCTTGCTCAAGAGGGTGCCTGATTCTCATTCGCTTCTCTGCTGGCCATTGCTGAGACTGGCAGGCGCTGAGTGCTGCCTAGAGAGCCTCTTGGACCGTTTGACGGCCTATACACATAATAAGAGATAAATGGAATCACATGGGAGAGGAAACGGGGGGCAGGTGGGGTGAAGCCCATGGTCAGTCTCACATTTATGAGGAGATCTGGGTGGCAGAAGCTTTCTGGCCCTCAACTTGCTTTCTCACCTCCTTAAAATTTAGGAACAGAGCGAGCCAGAAGGGGCCTCCCAGGCCATCCAGTTTGACCCCCGGCTCCAGCCGGCTCTGCTCACGACATGCCCACCATGTGCATGTCCAGCCTGTCCTTGAACACCCGCACTGGTGGGGCCTCAACCACCTCCTGGGGAAGCCCATTCCACGCCCTCGGGGTCCTGACTGTCAGGAAGTGCTTCCTGGCATCTAGATGGAACCTGGGTTCCCTGAGCTTTGCTCTGTTGGAGCGCGTCCTGCCTTCCTCTGCAGGGAAAAAAAGGTCATGACCCACCTCTGTGTGACACCCCCTCACGTACCTACATGTCGCCAACAGATCCCCTCTGAGTCTCCTCCTCTCCAGGCTGAAGAGGCCCAGCTCCTTCAGTCTCTCCTCCCTCCCCTCTGCATGCTATTCGCCTTTTGCGAGCATTTTACTTCAATTGTAATTGAACTACAATTACTTCAATTGGTGCAAAACAGCTGCCAGGCTGCTGACGGGGACTGGGCATTATTCTCACATAACCCCAGTCCTCTACCAGCTTCACTGGCTCCCCATCGAAGTCCGGGCCCAATTCAAGGTGCTGGTTATCACCTACAAAGCCCTTAACGGCTTGGGACCTGAATACCTAAAGGAACGCCTGCTTTATTTAAAAGTTATTTTCAAGACCTTTTTATTTAAAAGTTATTTTAATTGTTAATTGTTGATTGTATTTATTTATTGGTTTTTATATTTGTGCCGAGATGTCTCCGGGATTTTAAGGTTATCTGTATGATTGTTTATTTGTTTTGTAAGCCGTCCCGAGACTTTTTGCGAATGGGGTGGCATAGAAATGTTCTAAATTAATTAATTAAGTAATTAATTTTGGGTGCAGTGCTGCTGAGTGGGACAGAACCCCCTTAAGAAGTTAGGTTGCTAATTTCTGTTTCTTCTTCCCTTTTTATATAGGTTTACTGTAAACAACACGATTCTTCATCCAGAGATTGCCGAGTGGTATGTAAGCTCTTCTCCCTTCTTGTCCGCGTGTTATCACTGGGGTGCGAAGTTTCTGCGCAGCCACCTCCAGCTCCGAGTCGGCTCTGGGTGGGGCTGTGTCTTGGAGGAATAGCAGAGGGGTTTTGGAATAGATCAGAGGGCTTTTTCTGGTGTTGAAACCGGGGTCCCAAGGGTTCCCCCCACAGTGAGTAGCAGCCACTCATTTGCCAGGTGGGGGGGGCGAGGAGGTCCTGTCCGTGGCATAAGCACCCCCACACCTTTCAGGGCTGGGACTTGGCCTGTCCTGTCCACTCCAGCCTCCTCCCGTCCCGTCCCGTCCCATCCCATCCCGCCCCACATCCCGACTGGGATTCTTCTGCAGCCCAGCCAGCCACTCTGGAGAGCAAACCCCGAATGCCTGCGTCCTTCTCACTCCCCACACACACCCATCCTGAGTGGGATGGGGAGGAACCGTTTCTCCCATTGCCAGGCGAGTTTCTCTCTCTGCACTGGGAGCGCCGTGCAGCTGGGCAGCGCTTCCATCCAGGAGGAGGAGGGGGGGTGCGGAGGATGTGAGGTGTGGCCCCCTCGCTGCCGCTGCACCTCACCTCAGCCAGCACTGTACCCCTGGCTGAGCCTCATAGCCAACCCTGGGGTCTTGGCATGGTGCTCTCCTACCCTGGTGGGAACTGCATTGAATTTATTCGTTTATTTAAAACGTGTCTATCCCGCCCCATCACATACGTCTTGGAACAGTTGACAACAGATTAATACAATAAGGTAAGAATAGAAATAAGGATAACAGTTGCATAGTATCCTGTGTTAAAATATAAAACCACTAAATAAAAATAAAACCACTAAAGTACCGGGAGGATAAAAAGGGTTTCGCCTGATGCCGAAAGGAAAGAGATGTTGGCGCCAGGCGAGCCTCCCTGGGGAGCGTGTCCCACGGTCAGGGTGCCACCGCAGAGAATTGGGCCAGATTTGCTCTCCAGCTTGGGAGGTGGAGAAAAGAAAGCTAAAGGCACGTGGGACAAGGTTCCCTGGTTTGGTCAATTGCACCCGTGAGTAGGAGAAGCCAGTGGGGTGGATCTGGTCCTCCGCCCCCTGCAGAATATTTGCTTGTGCCCCGTTTGTCAGCACGCAGAAGCATTTTGGCTGCTGGTTAGGTGCAAACCCACCCGGTCGTAATAGCGCGAGAAAGAGAAATGAGACGGTGCTGACACCGTTCTTGTCAATTTACTGAAAAATTCATTAGTGTTCATCATGGCGTAGGTACAAATACAAATACATTCATTATAATTTCCACTACAGCAGTGACTAACGGAAGAAGTATTAACTGAATGTCTGGCAGAGCGGGTAATGTTATATAAATGTCACACTATTTCTGCCTCCTTTTGGGATTCATTTTAAAAGCGTTAATTCTAATGCATTTCACTGGCAAATTATGGATGTTCTTTTTAATTACACTTGAATGCCAGTGGGCTCTGGCATTAGCAGAAGAGGACCCGGGCGCATCCCAGTTCCGAAGTGCTATGCGGCGGTGAAATTTCGTAATTGTTATGGTTTCCCCCCTCCCCCCAACAAGGTGGCTGTTAAGGGCAATTTTCTGTTGTTGGAGAAGAAAAGTCTTCTGCCTTGAACAGATGGCCACAAGCCAATGTTGTGAGGACTGGCGTGCCTTTTCTTGCTTCCTGCTCTTGCGTGGGCTAATGGGCCAGTTTCCGCCTGTCATTTCCCTGTGCTCGCGGGCAACGCCTAATGGCGGGGGGTCAGAGGGCAGAGAAACACATCTCGTGCCATCCAGCCATTCCATTTCTGCGTGCCATGAAGGGAGGAAGCTGGGACAGGTGCCTGGGTTTCCCCGCTCCCCATGTTTTGTCAGGTCTGTTTCCACCCTGCAAGTATGCCTGCCAAGACGATTCCAACCGTGACTTGGCAGGTTGACGCCCCATGCTGGTCGGAGGCTTCTTAAGGCCACTTCAGCTCTGCTAAGCCAGCAGCCAATTGCATTTTATTTTATTTATTTACTTAAACTTTTGTAAGTTTTATGCCTTGGCATCTCAGGATGGCTCACAATACATAAAATTGAAATACAGTAAAACCACGATGGGGTGGTCACTGACCTCGAGCCAGACATCCTGGAATGTGAAGTCAAATGGGCCTTAGGAAGTCTGAGCAACAACAAAGCTAGTGGAGGCGGCAGTATTCCAGCTGAGCTATTCAAAATCCTAAAAGACGATGCAGTAAAAGTGCTACACTCAATATGCCAGCAAATTTGGAAAACTCAACAGTGGCCACTGGATTGGAAAAGGTCAGTTTACATTCCCATCCCAAAGAAGGGCAGTGCCAAAGTACGTTCAAACTACCACACCATTGCACTCATTTCACATGCTAGCAAAGTGATGCTCAAAATCCTACAAGCTTAGGCTCCAGCAGTATGTGGACCGAGAACTACCAGAAGTACAGGCAGGATTTTGAAGGGAGAGGAACTAGAGATCAAATTGCCAACATACGCTGGATCATGGAGAAAGATAGGGAACTCCAGAAAAACATCTACTTCTGCTTCATTGACTATGCTAAAGCCTCTGATTGTGTGGATCACAACAAATTGTGGCAAGTTCTTAAAGAGATGGGAGTACCAGACCATCTTATTTGTCTCTTGAGAAACCTATATGCGGGTCAAGAAGCAACAGTGAGAACTGGACACAGAACCACTGATTGGTTCAAAATTGAGAAAGGAGTTTGGCAAGGCTGTATACTGTCACCCTGCCTATTTAACTTATATGCAGAGCACACCATGAGAAAGGTGGGCCTAGATGAATCACCAGTTGGAATTAAGATTGCCGGGAGAAATATCAACAACCTCAGATATGCAGATGATACCACTCTCATGGCAGAAAGTGAAGAGGAACTAAAGAGCCTCTTGATGCGGGTGAAGGAGGAGAGTGCAAAAGTTGGCTTGAAACTCAACATTAAGAAAACTAAGATTATGGCATCTGGTCCTCTCACTTCTTGGCAAATAGATGGGGAAGAAATGGAGGTAGTGACAGATTTTATTTTCTTGGGCTCCAAGATCACTGCAGACGGGGACTGCAGCCAAGAAATTAAAAAACGCTTGCTCCTGGGGAGGAAAGCTATGGCAAATCTAGACAGCATACTAAAAAGCAGAGACATCACCCTGCCGACAAAAGTGCGTGTATTCAAGGCTATGGCTTTCCCAGTTGCAATGTATGCCTGTGAAAGTTGGACCATAAGGAAGGCCGAGCGCCAAAGGATTGAGGCCTTTGAATTGTGGTGCTGGAGGAGACTCCTGTGAGTCCCTTGGACCGCAAGGCGATCAAACTGGTCAGTCCTAGAGGAGATCAACCCTGACTGCTCTTTAGAAGGCCAGATCCTGAAGATGAAGCTCAAATACTTTGGGCACCTACTGAGAAGGAAGGACTCCCTGGAGAAGAGCCTAATGCTGGGAACGATTGACGGCAAAAGAAGGAGGGGACGGCAGAGGATGAGGAGGCTGGATGGAGTCACTGAAGCAGTTGGTGTGAGCTTAGGTGGACTCTGGGGGATGGTGGAGGACAGGAAGGCCTGGAGGAATGTTGTCCATGGGGTCGCGATGAGTCGGACACGACTTAGCGACTAACAACAACAACAAAAATCACATTTATAAATGACATAATTCAGTAAAAAATACATAAAAGACAAAATCAAAGCAACTGTTCAAAATGATTAATATACTAATTTTTAAAATAGTGATTAAATAAAAAGGTTTTGACCTGGCGCTGAAAAGAATATAGACTCTGCACCAGGCGCACCTCTCCGACATTTATTTAAGACATTTGTATGCCGTCCTTTGCGAGAGCCTCAGGATGGCTTACACAAATAATATTCCAAAATACATAATAATATTATAAATAACATCAAACTTTCCACAATATATCCTCTCTTAATTAATAAAAGTAATAAAACTAAAAATGCAACTGTATATCAATTAGTAATATTAATAAAATAGTATTAGTTGTTAAAATGAAGATTAAATAGATCTTCACCTGGTGCCAGAAGGAGTAGAGAGTAGGCACCAGGCAGACCTCTCCGGGGAGCATGTTCCATAGTCTGGGTGCCACCGCAGAGAAGGCCCTCCGTACCTCCCTCAAGGAGGGTTCCCCGAGTAAGACCTCCCCTGCCCATCTTAAGGAGCATGAAGGCATATTTTGACCGACAGACAGTGGCTGGTGGTTTTGGTAGGCTTTCCGATGCCTGGCAGGGAAACGCCATGTGAAATGAACAGACAGGACTGTCGGGCTGTGATTCCCTTGAGCTCAGGTTCCACTGATGATGAAGCGATGGTGGCTTAGTCTCGGTTCTCGTTGGGCTGGGAAGTGTGCCTCCTCCCACTTGGTCTATCTCAGAATGGGCCAGTGCGTTCAGGTAATTGGAGCTGAGCAGGTATCCTTGGAGGGCCCAGGCCAAGAGTACCGGGCTTCTTCCCGAAGGCAGCATGCTGCTCTGTAATCTTCTTGTAAAAAAAGTAATTATGCTGAAGAACCAACAGCAAAAGGCAAGGCCGGGCCAGGAGCTCGGTGAGTGCCGAGAGAGGTGGTTGCAGGCACTTCGGAGCCCGTGGGCAACGCGGTGGAAAGACCTTGGTTCTAAAGTGGCTCTGTGAACGAAGCCTGCGATGGCAGCCGACGCACGAGCTCCCGGAGCAGTGGCATGGACTGCCTCAAGATCATCTCATTAGCAAGAGCAGTTCACACCGCGGTTGCCCTCCTTTCAAGTTCTTGAGAATTAATGAGACCTGTTCGCTGACAGGAAGATGTTGACGCTTGCACAGAATGAGAAATTGAAGCCGTGACTTAACACATCTTCCAGGGCTGGGGGCAAGAGGGTGGAGCCTGCACCACGCTGGAACACCCCAGTCTGGCTATCGAGAACGATGGCGGCTCACACGGGGAGCTGGGGGTGCAGCTGGAACACGGGTTGTCAGGAGCCCTCTTCCTCGGAGTCTTGCTTTTTGA